CTTCCAACATGACAACGACCCGAAGCACACAGCCAGGATAACCAAGGAGTGGCTCCGTAAGAAGCATATTAAGGTTCTGGAGTGGCCTAGCCAGTCTCCAGACCTAAATCCAATAGAACATCTTTGGAGGGAGCTGAAACTCCGTGTTGCTCAGCGACAGCCCCGAAACCTGACAGATCTGTGTGGAGGAGTGGGCCAAAATCCCTGTTGCAGTGTGTGCAAACCTGGTCAAGAACTACAGGAAACGTTTGACCTCTGTAATTGCAAACAAAGGCTTCTGTACCAAATATTAACACTGATCTTCTTAGGTGTTAAAATACTTATGTTCAGCAGTGCAAGACAAATTCTTTAAAAATCATACAATGTGATTTCCTGAATTTTTTTTTTAATTCTGTCTCTCAGAGTGGGAATGCACCTACAATGTGAATTTCAGACCCCTCCATGATTTCTAAGTGGGAGAACTTGCAAAATCGCAGGGTGTTCAAATATTTCTGTTCCTCACTGTATGTGCTGAGAGTGTGCGCCCAGCGTGCTCCCAGCACATATGTCCGTGTCTCACAGAAAAGTCCCAATCTCACCTTACAATCGGGACCTTTTCCGATCATGTGACCACCGTGACATGACCCTAAAACCCCGCCCCGCCTCCCGGCTTCTGAAACTCTTAAACGGGCCGAGAGGTGCTGGCGCAAAGGGGTTAATTGTGATATCTAAAAAAGTAATCATAGCAGGATCATTAATCATTGTGAATTTAAGATTGAAAATATTGTTCATGGTTTCGACACAGCATAGGAGTAAATTGGAGGGTCCCTCCCAGATGAGAAAAATATCATCTATGTATCGATACCACATAGTGATGTGGTTGGTCAAAGACCCCCATTCCTTGTTCGCCAAAAAGGTACGTTCTTTGTTTTTGTACAGTTTTGTGGCAAGCTAAATTATAAATGAAAATTGGATGGTATGTAGGACGTACATATATAAATTTTTTTGACTGTATATTATTAGTGATGTTTTTTGCTAATTCTTACTCGTCCTCTATATTCTGTAGAATGTTTCTTGGCCATTCTTCCTCTTCAGCTTTCCCCGGAAAAAAAATTTTTTTTTTTCTCTGAAACGCATCCATCTGGTCTTTTCAGCTGAAGTTCACTCTCCCTTCACCTTTTTCTGGCACACAGGAGAGGGTGAATACCAATTTTCATCCTACGGCAAGTGTACAGGCATTTTTGTCATTTTTTTCTCATATACGATTTTAACATTTGTGTAATGTGTTCAATTATGATGTTTCACAATGATTTTATAATAAAATTATTTACATGTTTTGAGTTACCTTAAAAAGTCCCAGTACAAGCTGTTGGGGAACATACCTTTGGGATGTTGGCAACTAGAGAATGAACCCTGTGCTGGATCCACATTCTATGCATTTTTAGTGCATTTTACAGGAATGCACTACAGTCCATTTAACATGGTTTCCTATGGATCTAGTTCACATCTGTGCATTTTGAGCTGGTGCATTTCTTGGAAAGGTTCAGGGACTTTTTTTTTCCCTTAGCAGATTGTGTTTTGCGTGGCATAGACTTCCGTGGACTAGCACCAAAACCGCAAATGTTGCTTTTTTTTAATGTGTTCTGTGGCTTGACAGTATGATGGTACTGTTCATGTAGTGCAACTTTACACTCTCTGGCACTCAAGTAGCATCAAAGTAGTGCAGGAACCTTTGTGTGTCCAAAGTCAAATTTTTTGTTTTTTGCTAATAGGAAAGTATGACAGTTCTGTTCATGTAGTGCAACTTTAATGCAACTCTACACTCTCTGGCATCCAAAAAAAATCAAAGTCACAGTAGAGTAGTGCAGGAACCTTTATATGTCCCATGTTATAAGTCACATGTTAGGGTTAAGGGCTAGGCTTGGGGTTAGAACGCTAACCCTAACGATTACTGCTAACTCTAATGTTTACAGCTAACCCTAACTCTAGTCCTTAACCCTAACCATAACATTTAACCCTAACCCTTAACCCTATCATGTGAATTTGGAAACATAAATGTTCTTGCAATACTTAGATGCGACTTTAATGCTAATTTGATGCTACTTGAGTGCCAGAGAGTGTAAACTCGCCTCAAAGTCGCACTACATGAACAGCACTGCTATACTTTCCTGTTAGCCAAAATAAATTGACTTTGGAAACATAAAGTTTCCTGCTCTACTTGGATTTGACTTTGTTACTTTGATGCTACTTGAGTGCCAGAGAGTGTAAAGTCACATCAAAGTCTCACTACTTGAACAGAACTATACTTTTCTATTAGCCCCAAAAAAAACACAAAACGCACCACAAAACTCACTGGAAAAACACATCAAATGCAACCTACATTCATGTGAACCTGGCTTAAGGAGAGTTTTGATCACCTTCTATAAATACAAAAATGGTCCATTTTAGTAGACTTGCAAAAGTAAAGTTCCTCACATTCAAGAAAAACAAAAGGGTGCGGCGCTGAAATCTCTAAAATCAAATTGAAATATATGCATACATATAAATTGCACTAAACCCAGTTGTGGATATAAAGTGACAAACGTGCACAACGCAAAGATAAAGGTGATATTGGTGAGCACTAACAGTGTGCTAGGTGTTCATCATCATACACAGTCCTAAGAACAGTTCATATAAAGTGCTTAGAAGTGATGATCCATCTGAGAGGATCTCAGATAAGTGCTCCTTACAACATCCTGGTGACGTGCCGTGAAATTGTTAGGAATACGCACTCACCATGCGCAATGCGCATATATGTATATGTAAATCTCAAGGATGTCTGCTGGAAGTCTCCTTTAGAACCAGATCAGCCTGGTCTGGTCAAAACCGTTAAGGATCCCCTTCCCCTGGGCAGTTTGCAGCACCTAAGGTCTCACTCCGGGATGGGCTCTGTACAGGTATCCGCTCACTGGTACTCAGGATACTCGAACATATAGGTCATACTGCACCTGTTCCTCTCATAGGTGAAGAATACATCTCTGACACCTAAGGCTACTAACACCAGCAATATGCCATGAAACGGCGCTCGCTATCTTCATATTGTCCCTAGAGAACGAAGCCCTGGTCCTGCCATCAGTCAGTGAGAAGACAACAATGCTCCCTGGAAGAGCGCGCACACTGTCATCCTCAGCACTGCCCTGAGTTCTACATTTTCCACACATCCAGTTGCTCACATTAAAGTCCAACTGAAAGGAGGCTGATGCTAAATCCCAAAGCAGATGGGCCTGTGGAGGAGGACATGACCATTGCCATTAGAGCTTTTTTTTCACCTGCTGGGCTCTTTTTAAATACTGCTGATCTTTATGGTCATTGTAATTGACAAGAGGGCACTCTTTGCATCAAAGAGAAGGGAATGATCAAGAGAAATCTATTGATTTCCACACCCACAATAAACAGTGTAGATGGAGGAATCGCCCCTGACAGCTTTTTTATTCTGACTGCCAGCACCCATAGTTATCAGAATACCCAAACAGTAACTGCTCTTGATGAATGCATTCACAACTTGAATTTCAATCGCTTTCATCAGTAACCATCCGAAATTCACTCCATGTATGGCCAGCTTTAATGCCAGGGTCTAATGCTTCAGGGTATACTTACCTTTAAGGAAGAACCAGTTTGAACAAACAAAAAGTAGTAGCCAGGACCTTTGAAGGAACATATAGATAAGAAGAGAGCATTGCATATATAAAAAAAAAAAACCTAAATTTTATTGGGGTATTTATTAAAAGAACAAAACACAAACCAACATTTGAGTACAGGGTTCAGTTATTGTTCAGATCCAATACACTCCACATGTAGATTTAAAGCATTTCAATGGATACATCAGGAGTTCACCATGATGAAACCCATGATTTGTGATTTGTTTATGTGTTTATCACAAGAAATGGATTTCATCATCTGGGTTTCAATCATGCTGATCCTGAAAAGTCTACATATGGAGTGTTTTGGACCTAAACAATAACTGAACCCTGTACTCAATACGAAAGAAAAAGAAAGAAAAGAAAGAAAGAGAAAAAGAAAGAAAGAAAAAGGAAGAGAAAAAGAAAGAAAGAAAAAGGAAAAGAAAGAAAAAAAAAAAGAAAAAAGGAAAAGAAAGAAAAAGAAAAAGGAAAAGAAAGAAAAAAAGAAAAAGAAAAAGAAAAGGAAAAGGAAAAGAAAAGAAAGAAAGAAAGAAAGAAAGAAAGAAAGAGAAGAGAGAGAGAGAGAGAGAGAGAGAGAAAGAAAGAAAGAAAGAAAGAAAGAAAGAAAAATCCACAGAGCTCCCTTTTATATCAGAGTACATTTTACATTACAGGACTCACTGGGAGAGAAGGGAGAGGGGAGGCTTCACTCACAGTGGATGGATAGATCGGCAGACTGCACTTCCCGCCCACACATCTCCTTTCCCTGAGGCACAACACTGCCGGGGAGTGTGGGCGGGACAGACACAGGAGAGGGCGGGAGGAGGAGGAGCAGAACCAGCTCTCTCCTCTGCCATCCGTGCGGTTGGAGGGGGGAACTGTCAGTGCTGGCTCTGGGCTGTGGGAGAGAGCTTCTGTCAGCTCAAAGCCCTGCAGCAACTGGGGAGCCACACAATACCCCCCCCCCCCCCCCCCCACAGTAGCATCAGATCGGCCCAGGGGGCAATTGCCACTCTTCCCTCCAGTCCACCCGTGGCCACTGGACCCATATAAACCTAGAGATCAGCTGTAAATGGGTTAAAAAAAAACTTTTTTTGTGTTTTTCATCCAGGACTTTGGGTAAACACTCACAATACTCACAAGCTCATGCATGGCACTGTCAAGCTTTGCATTCTCCCATCCAGAGTTCTGTGTCTCCTGTGTCACCTACCATCAATGCAGAGAGCACAGCAAGTATAGGATGTGCTGTGGCTTTCTGCTTCAGCACATCCTCCCTGTTGATTGTCTCAGCAGCAAATCATGTACTACTAGAAACAGAATATGTAGTCATGGATTTTGTGTGGACGTATAGAAGAGAAACTGAGTACAGTAAAAAATGACTATGTACCATTGAAAAATCTAATACACAACATTAAAAATTACTCTCCACCTAGGAGTACACAACACCCAGAGGTTCTGTTTAATGTGGACATGTGGAACTGACACATTTCAGGAATCGCTTTTCAGGAGCACATGTGACAAAATCCGTACACTGGAACCCAGGGGCGGACTGACCATTTGGAAACTCGGGCACTGCCGGAGGTCAGTAGGGAGCCCCATGAGATGCCCCTGGTACCTTTTTCATAGGCTTTTTTGAGTTTGGGCAAGGACACAGGGGCCCCATGATCCCCTATTGCCCGGGGGCCACATGAGTTGTCAGTCCACTCCTGCTGGAACCCACTCCTAATCTTTAATAGAGTAATATCAGTCAGCAGGGTAGACTTGAATTCATAGCCTGTGCATTTTGCCCATAGAGCTGCAAATGAGTAAGCCAAGGTCAAACCACTGCCACTTGGGTGGGAAATTCAAGTACATTCAATAAACAGCCAATGGGCCTTGTACACATCATTTTAAAATAGAAGGACTGACTTCCCAGTGGGTAACCTTCCAGACCCAATGTAAATAAGGACACCATGTAGACAGCATGGTAGTCAAAGTAGTCAAGGCACATACAGTTTACTCCACCTATCAAGAGCCCCTTTGGATACTTATATGTGCCTTGACTACTTTGACTACCATTCTGTCTTTATGGTGACTTGCTTGTATTGGGCCTGGATACTTTAACCACAAGCCTACAGGGCACTTATACCCCCTTCCTGCCCAGGCCAATTTCCACCTTTCAGCGCTGTTGCACTTTGAATGACAATTGCGCAGTCATGCAACACTGTACCATATGACATTATCATTTTTTTGTGACAGAGCTTTCTTTTGGTGGTATTTAATCAGCTCCGGGTTTTTTTATTTTTTCTTAAACAAACCAAAAAACCACCGAAAATCTTGAAAAAAAAACAAACATTTTTTCTTAGTTTTTGTTATAAAATTGTGTAAATAAGTGAATTTTCTCCTTCACTGATGTGTGCTAATGAGGCTGCAATGATGGGCACTGATAGGCTACACTGATAGGTGGCACTGATGAGGAGGCACTGGTAGGTGGCACTGATGGGCATTGACAGGCATCACTGATGGGCACTGAAAGGCAGCACTGATATATGGCACTGATAGGCGACACTGACTGGCTGAACTGTTAGGTGGCACTGACTGGCACTGATAAGCAGCACTGATGTGCACTGATAGGTGGTACTGATTGGCATTTATAGGTGGCACTGACTGGCACTGATGGGTGCCACTGAAAGGCAGCTCAGATGGGCACTGATATGTGGCATTGATGTGGCACTGATGGACACTGGCACGTGGCACTGATGAAAACTGACAGCTGGTACTGATGGACACTGACAGGTGGCACTGCTGAGGCTACACTGATCATCAGGGCACACTGATCATCAGTGCCCTAATGATCTGTGTACATGTCCCCTCCATGGAAAGCCGATTACCGGCTTTCCTCTCCTCACGCGCTGTCAGCATGACAGCTCGAAAGGAGAGAAATGCCGATAACCAGCATTTCCCTGTTTACATGTGATCAGCTGTGATTGGACACAGCTGATCACATGACCGAGCCGACATCTTCAGCTCTTTCCGTGGATCAGTGATCCGCTGTGTCCGAGGGACACCACCGACACACTCGCTGCACGCTCCGGAGCCGCGCATGCGCGGTTACAATGGGAGGACGTTATATGACGTCCTCCCAGAACGAGAGAACCACCTTGTGTCCGTCATATTACTATATGGCGGGCGGGAGGTGGTTAAAGAAGGGTTTCTCAATCAAGGTTCTATGGTACCCTAAGGTTCCTCTATAGGTTGCTATAAGGTCCTTGAGCAATGAGCAATGTCTGCCTCTCCAATAAGTTCCCAATGACACCTTTTTAGCTATCTGTAAGGTGTCAATTCTTCCCAATGGTCACAAGAGTAAGGCGCATTCTGCTCACACTAATGTATCAGGAGTTGTAGATATAGTCATTTTTAGCAGGGGTTCCCTGAACTGGAAAGTTATTTCAAAGATTCCTGTGTTTTGAAAGGGTTGAGAAAGGCTGATCTGCTGTGGGATCTATTAGGTAGAAGCATGGATTGGCTGCTTAGACAGAAATAACAAATAAAAGCCTCTCTCCATATACAGATCCTGCCCCCTACTGTGGCTTAGACCACGATGCAACAAACTACCTGTTCACCTTTATGTGCTGTTGGTATGTTTTTATGGTCCAGTCTGCGGCATACGTGCACATTAGTCACTTAAGGGTTGGGATATGACATAAATAGAATATACAGGAAAAGTAACAGACTTCACACTTAACTATGCACTTAGACCATTGTAGATCAATACTAAAAGCTAACACATTTAAAGTCCATGTAGCAGCTAAAATCATTTCCATTTCCGCCAAAGATAAGGTGACCTCTTAGAAGAAAGAAAGATGCAAGTTGTAAGACTTTTTGTTAGTGAATAATAAAACAAAATAACGCCTTTTAAAATCTGAAGGTAGTAGGGCATTGTTCGCTTTGCTTTGGCAACCAATCAGATAGCTCATTTTAATTGTAAGCTATATTTGAAAAATGCTGAAAATTCTAAATGCTTTATTAAAGAGATGCTGTTAGGGAAGAAGTACAGGAGATGCCATCTCTAACTTATTTTAAGGTTGCATGATGATCCATAGTGGTCATCCTCAGTTATTGTGATTAGTCTTTTTTTTAAGCCTCTAAATACCTCAATGTCCACGATGTACAGTTGCAAGAAAAAGTATGTGAACCCCTTGGGATTACGTGGAGTTTTGCATGAATTGGGCATAAAATGTGCTCTGAACTAACTAAGTCACAACAATAGAAGAACGCAGTCTGCTGAACATAATACTACACAAACATTAGATGTTGCCATGGTTTAATTGCACATAACATGTAAACATTCACAGTGCAGGGAGGAAAAAGTATGTGAGGCCCTAGCTTAATGACTTCTCCCAGAGCTAATTGGAGCCAGGAGTGAGCCAAACTTGGCTCCAATCAGTGTGATGATATTGGATGTGTTGCTGACAGCTGTCCTGCCCTTAAAAAACACACACCTGTTTTGGGTTTATTGGTTTCAAGAAGCACTGTCTGATGTGAACCATGCCTCGCAGAAAAGAGCTCTCAGAAGACCTACGATCAAGAATTGTTGACTTGCATGAAGCTGGAAAGGGTTACAAAAGTATCTCCAAAGGCCTTGATGTTCATGTGTCTACGGTAAGACAGACTGTCTATAAATGGAGAAAGTTTAGCATGCTACTCTCCCTAGGCGTGGTCACCCTGTAGAAATGACTGCAAGAGCACAGCGCGGAATGCTGCATGAGGTAAAGAAGAATCCCAGAGTGTCAGCTAAAGACCTACAGAAATCTCTGGCACATGGTAACATTTTTGTTGACACATCTACAATAAGGAAAACATTAAACAAGAATGGAGTACATGGGAGGACACCACGGAGGAAGCCATTGCTGTCCAAAAAGAAGATTGCAGCACGTTTGAAGTTTGAAAAAGAGCACCTGGATGTTCCACAGCACTACTGCAAAATATACTGTGGACAGATGAAACCAAGATTGAGTTGTTTGGGAAGAACACACAACACTATGTGTGGAGAAAAAAAGGCACAGCACACCAACATCAAAACCTCATCCCCACTGTAAAACATGGCGGAGGGAGCATCATAGTTTGGGGCTGCTTTGCTGCCTCAGGACATTGTTGTCATTGATGGAAAAATGAATTCCAGAGTTTATCAAGACATTTTGCAGGAAAACGTATGACCATCTGTCCGCCAACTGAAGCTCCACAGAGGATGGGTGATGCAACAGGACAATGACCCAAAGCATACAAGTAATTCAACAAAACAATGGCTGCAACAGCACAGAATACGCCTCCTGGAGTTCAGAGTCCTGACCTCAACCCGATTGAAATGCTGTGGCATGACCTTAAAAAGAGCGATTCACACCAGACATCCCAAGAATATTGCTACACTGAAACAGTTTTGTGAAGAGGATTGGTCCAAAATTACTCCAGATCGTTGTGCAGGTCTGATCTGCAACTACAGGAAAGGTTTGGTTGAGGTTATTGCTGCCAAAGGAGGGTCAAGCAGTTATTAAGTCCAAAGGTTCACATACTTTTTCCTCCCTGCACTGTGAATGTTTACATGTTGTGTGCAATTAAACCATGGCAACATCTAATTAGTATTATGTTCAGCAGACTGTGTTCTTCTATTGTTGTGACTTAGATGACGTTCAGAACACATTTTATGCCCAATTCATGCAAAACTCCACGTAATCCCAAGGGGTTCACATACTTTTTCTTGCAACTGTATCATATTATTGGGAAACCATAATGACTAATTATCTTTCATTTTAATCTTTAATCTTAACGATTTCACTTAACCACTTCCAGTCTGGACTCTTTCACCCCCTTCCTGTCCAGGCCAATTTTCAGCTTTTAGCGCTATCACACTTTGAATGACAATTGCGCGGTCATGCAACACTGTACCCATATGACTTTTTTAGCATTTTTTGAGACAGATAAATCTTTCTTTTGGTGGTATTTATTCACTACTGGGATTTTTATTTTTGTTTTGCTATATAAATGAAAAAGTCCAAACATTTTGAAAAAAAGTGTTTCTTATAAAATTTTGCAAATAAATAATATTTCATCACAAATCTTGGCCAAGATTTATTCAGTCATCTTTTTAGTAAAAAAAAATAACCCAAATTAGTTTATAACCAAAAATTATAATTTCTTTTAAAAAAATTTAAATTTTTATTTAAATTTTTTATATTATTTTATGTTTTGTTTTTGTTTTTTTACATACTGTCATCCTAGCAGTGACACTGGTGACACTGTACTACTTGTGGGGGGTGATGAAGATTTTTTTTTTTTTTTACACTGATTGCTTTAACGCCCATAAAGGCTGTAAAAGCAATCATTTCTCCTTCTCTCTGGCTGCATTTTTGGCAGCCATTGAGAAATACTGTGTGAGCTGTGATTGGTCATAACTTGTCACATAGTACAAGGCTGTTGTGAATAGCCCTGTACCATGTAATCTCTGTGATCATTCACAGATTTCACACGTAGTAAGCAACGATGTCAGAAGTGATATCTTGCTTACTACTCTGCATGTGATCACTGATTGGCCAGTTATCACATGATTGGGACCAGACACAGAGGTCGCATACGACGATCAGTGTTCCACTGTGTCCATAGGACACAGCGGGCACCGGACCACGGTGCTGAGCGCTCCCAGGGAGCATGCACAGTCCAAAATGGCGGGCGCCCTTTATGAACGGCAACCCGCCCCTGGACTGCCACCGTCCGGCCATTTATATACATGCAGCTGGACGGCAAGTGGTTAAATTTTAATTATATTTAATTTTTGGGTTTTTTTTCAGTTTAAAGCCTAATTGTACTTTTCATTTAAATCAGCAAGATACACTACAGGTACATCAAAATTAAAGGTGTGCTTAAATGCAGAGTTCCACCCAAAAGTGGAATCTCCGCTTTTCTGCCCCCCCCCCCCCCCCCCTTGCCACATTTGGCACTTTTTGAGGGGGAGGGGGGAGCAAGTACCTGTTTTTTTACAGGTACCCCTCTCCCACTTCTGGCTCAGTTTGCCGCGGTGAACTGAACAGGAAGTTCAGCACCACCCTCAGCCCTCTGCAACACTTCCAAGGTCCAAGAGGACTGCAGCCCATTCACAAAGTGCAGTGTTCTTCACGCATATGTAGTAGAAAACTGGTGGTGAAGCTGTAAGGCTTCACTGCGGTTTCCCTTAGTCAAGATGGCGGCGCCAGCACCCGACAGCCGATTAAATAATCGGCTCTGGGTGAACACACCACTGGATGCATGGACAGGTAAGTGCTCTACTATTAAAAGTCAGCAACCACAGTATTTGTAGTTGCCGACTTTAACCTCTTTTTTTTGAGGAGGTGGTGGGGGCCAGAACTCCACTTTAATCTTAAGCTGGCCATAGAGAAGTAGAATTTCAGATAAAACTTCTTAGGAAAATTCATGCAAAAATTCTCAAAACTTTCTCAGAACATTCAAATGCCGTTCGAAAGATTTTGTTTGCTGGTAGCATTTGATTTTGGAATTATTATTATATAGCGCCAACAGTTTACGTGGCGTTTTACAAAATGAAGGTAAGACATTACAGTTACAATACAATTTGGTACAAGAGGAAACAGAGGGCCCGGCACGTTAGAGCTTACAATCTAGGAGGAAGGGTTGAGTGATACAAAAGGTAATAGCTGTGGGGGGGGGGGTGAACTGATGGAGGAAATAAATGGCGTTTACTAGTTAGAAGCAGCATAGGCTTCTTTAAAGATAAAGGGATCATCTAAAGGTCGATAGATTAAGAAATAGCCAGACAGATTGGGGTAGGGAGTGCCATAGGATGAGAAGTCATGGAGACGAGCAAGGGAGGAGGTGACACGGAGACTAGAGAGCAGGGGCGGACTGACCATTTGGAAACTCGGGCATTGCCCAAGGGCCCGGGGTCAGTAGGGGGCCCCATGAGATGCCCCTGGTACCTTTTTCATAGGTTTTTTTGAGTTTGGGCAAGGACACACAGGGGCCCCATGATCCCCTATTGCCTGGGGGCCCCATGAGTTGTCAGTTCATCCCTGCTAGAGAGCAGAAGGTCTTGGGAGGATCAAAGGGAACGGTTTGGTTGATATTTTGAGACCAGGTTGGTGATGTAGCTGAGGGCAGAGTTGTGGATGGCTTTGTAAGTTATTGTTAGTGTTTTGAATTATTTGGATGAGTGGAAGCCAGTGGAGGGATTGGCAGAGAGGGGTGGAGTACACTGATTGGAGGTCAGTGGAGGGATTGGCAGAGGGGGTGGAGGACACTGATTGGACTTCAGTGGAGGGATTGGCAGAGAGGGGTGGAGCACACTGATTGGAGGTCAGTGGAGGGATTGGCAGAGAGGGGTGGAGGACACTGATTGGAGGTCAGTGGAGGGATTGGCAGAGGGGGGTGGAGGACACTGATTGGACTTCAGTGGAGGGATTGGCAGAGAGGGGTGGAGCACACTGATTGGAGGTCAGTGGAGGGATTGGCAGAGAGGGGTAGCAGACACTGAATGGTTGGTAAGGTGAATGAGTCTGGCAGTAGTATTCATGATGGACTGAAGAGGGGATAGCCAATGTAAAGGTAAGCCAATGAGGAGGGAGTTGCAGTTGTCGAGGGGAGAGATAGCCAGGGAGTGAATTAGGAGCTTTGTGGTATCATTGGTTACAAAGGGGCGTATTCTGGAGATGTTGCGGAGGCTGATGCGGCATGATTTGGACAGGGACTGGATATGGGCCTGAAAGGATAGTTCAGAATCCAGGGAATGAATGGACTTTACCTAATGAAAACCACATTCACTGTTAGAAATTTGCTAATTCCAGAAAAATATTCCATCCTGCTTCTTCAAATTTTCTCATCACTCCGGTCAAAAATGAACATTGATTTGACCACATTATGATAAGAAAAAAGAACAAACTTTCTTAGAACATTCTTTTCTTAAGAATTTGTATTTAAAATTCTACATCTATGGCCAGCTTTACATTTGTTTTTCTTTACAAAGCAGCCACATCCTGCATATAACAGCCCATTCTCTGCCACCATGCTTCATCACTAACAAACACATTTCTCAACTTGGAGGCATTCCAAAGTATAGACCTAGGACTGCAGGATACAGAGGGACATTGATGTGGGCACTGCAACTTCCACATATATTTGCAAATGTGTGCAGTGAAACCCTCTGTTTTAAAGTGAATTGCTAGACAGGGTAAATTTGGTTTGTTTGCAGGCTTGGTGATAAGTGTGCTGGGTAATTTGTTAGTTTGATGTGCGCATTGCCCTTCCATGTGCACCTTACTGCAAAGGCTAATTATAAATTGGGGTGGTTGACATCTTTTTGTATTGCCATCACGCTGCAGAGAAGGACCCTTGCTCTTTGTGTGGAAGCTGTATTTTCTCTGTAGAGTTTTGACATACCCCCTTGCTGAGTCTAACCTATCCAATCATCAAAGGGAATAAGCTTGAACATGAGCAGTGTTGACCTTTGCAGAGGATCCACTGCTTCCACACAGCAAGAAAGGATCCTTCTCTGCAGTTCTAATAAGTTAAAAGAGACGTATGGCCAAAAGCCATACTCGAAGGATCCCAACAATAATGTCAGGATGCACCCGAATGCCTGATCGGCAGCTTGCCACTGAGAGCCTGAGCCAGCCGCTACCACCCGCTCCACTGCCTGATGCTCCAGTGAGCACTGGAGGGTACAGCAGACAGTGCTGACGAAGCAGTCATGTGATTGCTCAGTTCTGAGCCTTGGAGACAGCAGGGAACATCTGCAGCATTACTCCGATGATGCAGCATGGAGGCAAGTATGTACAGTATGTTTGTGTTTTTGTGCTGTTCCCACACTTCTACTTCAAATACATTCCAGGATCCTTAAAATTAAAGGCACAGATTATTTTCTTTCTAGAGCAGCAGCAGATGTCAGACATGCCCCCTAACTGGAGAGCTCTGGCCCTGTCTTAGCAAGGAGGACGTCAGACTTTTGCAGAGACCACTGCTTTCACACAAAGAGCAAGTGCCCTTCTCAGCAGCATGCTGGCAAAGGACAGCCATTTCTACTTTGGCTGCTGCAGCTTTTCTAAAAAAAAACAAAGTGTAAGACTTTAAACACCTTTTGGTTTTATGTGCTTGTTCTGCCTTCAGCAGGGGAATATATTATGCCTGTCCTGCCTGCCATATCAAATCTGACCACTAGACGGAGCCAGTAATAAATGTACTGTTTTGCAGAAACTAGAAACTGTTTCAGCTTTAATAAAAGTTCCCATGATCCTCCAATCTAAGAAAAGGAAACACGTGCATCCTGAGAGCTCAGATTCCATCTTAGAAACTGTGAGAGAAGGCTAGATCAGAGCACATGCTGGATTAAGACTTGCATCCCTTTGTATCCCCTAAATCAGGGGTGTCAACCTCAATTTAGTTGCGGGCTGCATCAGCATTATGGTTACCCTCAAAGGGCCAGTTGTATCTGTAAGACTAGATGCACAGAGCACCCCTTGCCCCCCTTACATCAAATGTCAAGACCCCCCACATACACACACACACCATCAGAACTCAAGAGTTCACCCTTCTACAGTATACCCCCTTACGTTGTGCTGCTGCTGGGAAAAAGCTGGGGGAGGAGCTGGGAAGCAGAAAGTGCAGGGTCTGGAGAAGGACCAAAGAAGGGCTGGAGTCAGCTGCCAGAGTCTGCTGAATGCTGAGACCAGGGGAGGCAGAGAGGAATGTGTGCTGTGGCTGTATAGAGAGGTGCAAGATCTGTAGGAGGAGCTCTGTCCTCCTCTCTGCTGCCAAGCGATGAGATCGGGGGCAGCAAAGACTAGCCTCTACGCAGCTGCACAGAGAAGTGCTGGATCTGCCAGAAGAGTTCTGTCCTCCTCTCTACTGCTGACTGTTGAGGACAAGGTGGGTACAGTGCAGCAGAGGTGTGAGGGCTAACTGAAATAGTCTGGGCGGGGGGCCAGATTCAGCCCTGGGGCCTTGTGTTTGACACATGTGCCCTAAAGGCAGCATTGCTGGTAAGAATAACTTATCCCCATCTATAGTCCAACTATTCATTGTGTTTTCTGTATGTTCTTACATTCATTATATATATTTCTCATCTGTTTTGTTTTTTTTAATAGTTTCACACACCCAGTTTGGTTTATAAAGCTTCAAGATTACATTCAGTCTGGCTTATTGCAAAATAGAAAGGTTTAGCCGCATGTCAGGTTACACAGGGAAATGTGTAGCGAGGACAGAACAGTGCTTGAAATGTATTGAGTGGATTTTAACTGAAAGTTCAGTTAGGCTGTAAAGACTAAATCCATCTTTCCCATGTTTCCTAATATGTATCCCGACCTCAAGCTGCACCCTTCTTACAGGAGCTGGGGGTCTATCTCCAAGCCGGTTCCTGTCATATGTTGATTTGGCTATGCTGCCAGAGTAAAATTAATTTATAGGAAGTTGTGAATGAAAAAAATGCAGCAGAGGAACTAGGGAGTTTTCAAAGAACACAATCACAGTGTCCATTGACACTTTCTACAGACCTGTAACCCAAGGTCTGTACCTCGGTGTGGGCCAGCAGCTGCAGAAAAAGTCAGCAGGAGTCTGTGCATTGAACTGGTGATCCAATGACCACAGGTGTAATACCTTCCAGGTCCCTATGTAAAAAATAATAAATCAACATGTTTTAAAATGAAATGTAGCACCCTCTAGTGTGCTACTAGATTAGTGTAGTGTATTGCAGGTAAAATCATTGTGTATGATTCATGGTAACTGTGTGAGATTGTGATTGAGGTTGGGTTGTTGCAGGTCAGCTGGATGACTTAACAGGTTGTGGCTCTATCACTTCCTCCAGACTCTACAGGACCATAGAACCTTTCAGAAGTCAGTAAGCAGGAAGGGGTGAAGACCTTAATCTGCATGTTTATGGGAGTCCGGCCAATCCCAGTTTTTGATGCCCTGGTAGAGTGGTGGACTGGCCCATAAATATGGGAGAGTCAGGCTGACAGAGGAGTTGGGTGAAAAGATAGAGTGCTGAGGAGACTGTCGGTGCCTGGGAGGGGTTCCCTAGGTCTAGGGGGACTGGCCTCCAGGCTGGGCTCGGGCCGGCCCAGGAGGATACTTTCAGCAGTGAGGCATAAATGGGATCAAGACTTGGAGCAGCAGGGAGCAAAGTGGACAGAGTAAGTACAGCAGCACTCTCTGGGATCTACAAGGGGAAAAACTGCCACATGTAGCAAGCTTTCTAAGAACAGCACTGGGCTCAATCCTTTATCCTTTTCCCGGGAGATCTTCCAAGAAGCCAGCAGGGCTGGTAGTGCTGGGAGCAGCTGTACAAGGGGAGAGAAGACATCCCTTCATGTAGTTAAGGGAAGTTAAGTTGATTTTTGAGGGGCTGCTAGTTCCTCACCCCCATAAAGGGCAGCTGCTACTGGTCCGCAGTGACTGACGGCTTTCAGGGAAAGAACAGTCCAGGATCTTCCTTTGTACATAGGAAGGAAGTGTCCCCCTTTTTTGTTGAATCTAGGCAATTGGGCATCCCATATTTCCCTATCCAAGTGGATTTCCCGTGATAAAATAACAAAACCAAGCCTATGGACTGGTTACTGTCTCTTGGATGCAAATCTGTGTGAGAAAATATTTGTTGCCTGGCTGTGCAGAGAGAAGGGTTACCCACAACAGCAGCCTTCATGAGGGTAGCGCCACATGAATATGGGTGCATGTATTTTTTATATTTCAAAAAGGTGGACTTAGCCTTTAAACTTACAAACTTTAAAAAGATAATTAAACATAATTGACCCAAAACCATTGTAGCGTCCCATTAATATGATAAATTATGGACTCTGGAGTACTTATATGCCAAAAAGACTAATCACAAAGCTTTGCCACTATAGAGTTGCAAAATGGCACTTCTGAAATGGAAAACACTGTCATGTTCAATGGCCTGAATGGCATTCTTAAACAATGCATTGAAAAGCTTTCAGGAGGAATGATAAAACACTCTCAAGAGAATATAGTGATTTCCTTTAATTGCTATTTCCTGAATTAAGATAAGC